GGTGGAGGCCTTGGTAGCTGTGGTCCATTAGTCCTTTGGACTAATCTTTCCCTTGTATCCTGTTCTCTTCATTCTCCTTTGCTCCCGAAGGGGTGAGACCAGTGGAGTATCTCAGATGGCCACTCACAAGCTTTTAAGACCCCAGATGCTACTCACCAAAGCAGAATGTAGAACATTTTCTTTATCAACTATGTTATGCCAATTGAGCTAGATGTTCCCTGAGACCATTTTTTACATGACTGTGATGAAATACTAAAAAAGGTGGGTGTTTCCTCAAGATTTGGAACCAAATGTGTGCTTGACTGAATCACTTATGCCCGATTGTTCAACATATTTTTGTATCTATTCTCAGTCTCTTAGATGTTACATTTCGTCTAAAAATAGTTTTAATTTCAATAATAGGTAGTATGGCTTCCCAGAAATGTGTTTGGGTTTATATTTGAAGAGTACTTTGGAATTCACTTAGAGAAAATATTAATCATAAATCGTGCAGGAAGGAGTTCCATCGCTTCCCCGGCTGAGAGCTTGGCTTCTGCACAGTTAGGATGAACACTGCCTCGTCCCTTCATTCGGATGCCGACACATCTTTAATGAGGCTCGGGTAGTTTCTCTCTATTTCCTCTGGTGTTTATACCCGTCGAGTTCCCAACTCAGGTAAAATTTCCTTGAAATGACCGACGTCTATCAAAGGGCATAGACAGCTAAGGTTGTCAAAACTTGTTGCATTTTAAGGAGAAACTGTGACCAGTACAAATAGTAAATTGCCACTGGAAAGAATTTAAGCACCATAATAGGGCTGCATGGGTTGTTAGGGAAAAAGATGTTTCTTTCAGTGTAAAATGAAGGAAGAAATGGTTATGGATCAGGACATACTGGGAAGAATTTTAGAAATTACATGGACAACTATTTATGATACATTATTAAGTTGGAAAAAAAAAAAGCAGATTTCAAAGGAATGTGCTTACTGTCACCCTATTTTTTAAAAACACACACAATGACTGGAGGAAATTTACCAAAATATTATCCTTCACCGGGAGGCTTGGGAGTGGCCTTTACTTTTTCTCTTAGGCTTTTCTGTATTTAAATACAAAAATTTTCCATTTTTTTGCAATGTGCATTCATTACTTTCATAATTCAAAAAAACGATACTAGTTTAAAGAAATACAACCTAATCAGAGAATTGATTCCTTTAAAAACAATACCTGTAAGGATTTTGGTCGAGGATATGTATTTTGAGTGCTATTTAGAGTATTATAAACAATTAGATCAGAATTTAATTTGCCTTTGTAGAATTAAATCTCTGTTAAAAGGAAGTCTGCCTAGGTCTTCCACCCACGTATGTACCCATGGCTGTTGAGTCAATTCTGACTCAGTGACCCTATAGGCAAAGTAGAACTGCCCCATAGGGTTTCCAAGGAGCAGCTGGTGGATTCTAACTGCCAACCTCTTGGTTAGTAGCTGTAGCTCTTAACCACTATGCCACCAGGGTTTCCAAAAGAGTTGCGTTGGCGTCTATTTCAACTCATGGTGACCCCATGTGTTTCAGAGAACTGTGCACTTTAGGGTTTTCAACAGCTGTAATCTTTCAGTAGATCATCAGGCCTTTCTTCTGAGGTGCCTCTGGGTGGACTCGAATCTCCAGCCTCTTGGTTAGCAGCCAAGCGCATTAACTGTTTGAGTGACCCAGGAACTCCAAAACCAAACCCACTGCCATCGAGTCGATTCCGACTCATAGTCGGCTGCTATAAGACAGAGTGGAACTGCCCCATAAAGTTTCCAAGGAGTGGCTGGGGGATTCAAACTGCCAACCTTTTGGTTAGCAGCCCTAGCACTTAACCACTGTGCTATCAGGGCTCCATTTTTTTAGGTCTTCTAGTGGTTATCAAATGCTTAGCCTATAGAAGTACTAGGAGTTGTTTTATGAGGTGCTACCACATTCATGGAGCCCTGGTGGCGCAGTGGTTAAAATGCTCAGCTGCTAACCAAAAGGTCAGTGATTCGAACCCACCAAGCTGCGCCATGGGAGAAAGATGCGGCGGTCTGCTTCCATAAAGATTTCAGCCTTGGAAACCCGACGGGGAAGTTCTACTTTGTTTTTCTGTCTTTTCGTTTTGTTTTGGACCATATTCATCCAGAAGGAGGGGGCAAATCGAATGAGCGGCACCGTGGATTGTTTGGAGGGCTGCTCTTTCCTATCGGAACGGAGTAGTCATAGGTTTTCTTTCAGAGGTGGTGGACTTCTGTCTGCTTTTTTGTTTTTTGTCTAAAGACAAAGGCACGAAAAGCCACAAGGGAAGGAGGTGATAACAGCAGCCCTCGGCCATGGGGGCTTGTAAGTAAATTACTAAGAACTGGGCTCTGGTCCAGCAGCCAGTCTGGGGCCAGAGTGTGACAATCTGCCCCTCAGGGGCCAGGGCAGGTGGATAACTAAGGGTTTGTTGTTGTTTATTTTTTTTCAATACTTGGAAGAGTATAGATAAGTGAGAATAAATATTTCTTGAGCTTAGACAGGAAAGCGAACAGATTAAGGTGGTTATGAGCTTGGCTGCTAACCAAAAGGTCGGCAGTTCAATTCACCAGCCGCTCCCTGGAAACCCTAAGGGGCAGTTCTACTCTGTCCTAGAGGGTCGCTATGAGTCGGAATCATTTTAAACCAAATCAAGCCCGTTGCTGTGAAGCCAATTTCAACTCATAGCGACTCTATTCCGGAGTAGAATTGCCCCATAGGATTTCCAAGGCTGTAAATTTTTAGGGAAGCAGATGGCCACATCTTTCTCACGTGGAGCAGCTGGTAGGCTCCAATCGCAGACATTTGGGTTAACAGTCGAGTGCTTTAACCACTGCGCCACCAGGGTGCCTTTTAATATAACTTAAGGCAGTTTAGGAGCCCTGATGGAGCAGTGGTTATGAGCTTGGTTGCTAACCAAAAGGTCAGCAGTTCGAATCCAGCAGCCGCTCCTTGGAAACCCTATGGGGCAGTTCTACTCTGTCCTGTAGGGTCGCTATGAGTCGGAATCGACTTGACGGCGTGAGGTTTGGTTTTTGGCTCAAGGCAGTTTAAGTTTGGTTTGGGAAGGCGCCTGTCTGTCCTAAGAAGTTTATATTTTCCCATCTTGTCCTGCAGTTCATTGCTTTGTTTGGAAAATAATACCCTCTTTTCAGGGCAGGCGACACGATTTGAGGGCCCAGTGCAAAGTGAGAAGTCAGTCTCTCCTTGCCCTGAGCCTGCCGCCCCAGCGCACGACAGACAGACAGCGACCCCCGAGGGACCGCACCCTCTGCCCCGGGACGTGCTCAGTATCTGGGTTGGACCGTGGGTGTGAGGGGGCCCCCGCCAATCGCCAAACATACTATGGTGCCGCCAGCCCGGGTCCCGCCCACGCCTCGTCCCACTCCAAGACGCCAGTGACAAGTGCCAGACGCCAACCCTCCCGGTGTCCATGCTGAGGACCCCGGGAAGGGCAATGGCAGAACGCAGGCCATCCCCTGCGGGGGGACCCCAGCCGCCCGGGGTAGAGCAGCCGTGAGAGGAGCGAAGGAGGAGATGGGGAGACGGGGTGGAGCCTAGACCCCGTCCAAGGGTGTCAGTGCTGCGTGTGGCCCAGAGCTCCAAGCCCAGGCACCTGCTCCGTGGTCCCAATCAGATCCACAAAACATAAAGTCAAAGACAGTACTATTGAGAAGTTCAACACGCGTCTGCAAAGCAGTAAAACCCCAGGGTGAGGCCTTTTGAGTGTGGGACCCTGTGTGACTGCGCTGGTCGTTCGCCCAGGTAGCTGGCTTGCCGGTTTTACATTCCTGAAACAGCAGTGCCAGAGCTCCTGTACGCCCAAGCAGAGGCCATTCGGGTTTCTTTCAATGCGTAATTTACATGGACTCTCAAATGGTTTCCACACTCACCAAGTTTACTTAAAACTGGGTCTTGGTTAAAAGGAGTGAATAAAATGCGGGTGGGAAGAAGGAAGGTGACGGGAACTCGCCAGCTTTCTTGGCTAGTAAAAAATAGCGTCCGTGGTATTCGATCTAGAAAATAGCATTTAACACACATGTAAAGCCGTTTTTCCTGAACATAATTCAAGATTCTCTTAAGGTTTCCCTTTTGCCCTGTATTTATACATCCCTGAGTATAGCACAGGAAAAAATGTATATAAATAAATATAGATTAAAAAATATATATATACATATATATTTTCCCTATGTTACACCCAGGGGTCTATAAAAAATCTTAAGAAAATCTTAAATTACATCCAGGGCACATTGTTTAAGAAATTAGGGAGGTTTGAAATGTATTTTAAAGATATTTCCCTTCATTCAAAAATGTTCAGAATTCAAAATATTTGCAAATACTTTTAAAGGGGCTAAGCTTTAGATGCTGGGAAACGTTTTGATTGTGTAAAACACCTCAGTGTCTTTTGATGCTGGATGTTTGAGGTGTTGCAGTATCTAGCCACATATTAGTTATGTAATTTACATTATTGTTAAAATAAGTGTATTTGAGGAGAAAAAAATCCAGACATAGCTGGACTGTATGCTTATGTAATTTATCTCAGTTATCCATTTTTGAGAACAGCCCACCTGTTTTACCTGTGTGGCTAAAACCAAAGCAGAGTGCGTGTGATAGAAGCTGCTGGAGTTATAAATATGTGTTGCTCTCAGGAGAAAATAAGCAGCATCTATAGGTGGCCTTCCTAGCTTCAGACCTGCTAAATAATAAGGGCCATCATAGGGACACACCTTCATTTGAAGTTCCTCTTGTTCTTTCTGATACTTTTGGATCATTTCTTGGTATTTTTCCTTTTCAGTATCAAGTATCAACTTAGCTTCTTCTTTAAAGAGAAGAGCTTGTTCCTCAAATTCAACTAAATGTTGGGCTCTTTGCTTGGCGAGTTCAGCTTCAATCTGGAAAACAGCAGTTAACACACATATAAAGCCGTTTTTCTTTAAAGCTAGTACATTCATCCTATTTAGAGAATCGACCATTTACAATTCGAAAACAAAACAAAACACGAAACCTTCTGACTTAGACCTTGGGTCAGGAAAACGAGCCTTAGATCAAAAGTTCTAAGACTTTCTTAAAGACTAAAATAAGTAGGAAATACAGGGCATTTTATGATGACAGTTTTCAGAAATGTTAAAAGATGAGTCTTCTGTACATTTACATGGCAAACTTAGTCCTTGCCAGCAACTCCATGAGAAAAAAAAGGATAAAAACGATCTCGAGGCCCTCAGACTAAGCTCTGCTTAAAATTCAGATGGGATACCAAGTGCAACCCGGGAGAAAGATGTGGCAGTCTGCTTCTGTAAAGTTTACAGCCTTGGAAACCCTACGGGGCAGTTCTACTCTGTCCTACAGGGTTGCTATGAGCTGGAATCGACTTGACAGCAGTGGATCTGGATCTTGGTTACTAAGTAAAATGTTGATTTTCCCAGTGGTAGTTTCTTGATAGAGGTCACAGAAAGTTCTGGATTCACAAATTGTTTTAATGTGACGAGGCTGGAAGAACGATTGAAGGACAGCGGTCTGTGACGCGTGTATCCGTATTTTGATTCAGACAGAATCACAGTTCTGGAAGGAGCCTTAGAAATGCCCGAGTTCTGTGAATTCTGGAGAGAATAAATGAGGGCCTGGATTCAGATGGGGTTGACCTTAAATCCTGGCTCTGAATCCTGGCTCTGCCACTTGCTAACTGTGATCTGCAGTTTGTGAATGTAGCCTCTCCTGGTTAGTAAAGTGAGGCTGTAATGATCTCACTGGGGGTCGTTACCAGGATTAAACGAGACAAAGCACGTGTGTAAAGCTCCAGCAGGAGCAGGAGTTCAACAGTCAGAGGAGGTGATCTCTATGCTCGGATCTTCCGTCTCTCCTGCGGAATCTGCATCAAACAAACGAGTGTCTGCCCTGGACCTCAACTCTTCCAGAAACCATAACTCACTCCTCCTTCCCCAGCAGGGCCTCCATTTTCAGACAGAGCTAAGCACTAGGCCGCTTTTCCTTTAGTTGAACCAGCCCCTCTCGCCCTGCGGTTTTTAACGATTGGCTTTGGCTCTGCCTATTGGAGCAAAGGAGAGAACGCGCCACCAGTGCTGGAGATGCTCATGCCTGGGAGTCATCTAGTGAGGGCAGACAAGGGACTCCTAGTGACTGGCTGCCATGATTATAAATTCTAAGAAGGAGTAAATGACTCTGTGTGATCCAGGCCACTAGGAGGAGGGGAGACAGAGGTCAACTTGAATTTGTCAAGGGAACACTGAAGTCACGATACCAGGAAACAGGAAGTTTACCAGGACAGTTTAAACCTGTTGCTGTCGAGTCAATTTCGACTCATAGTGACCCTATAGGACAGCGTAGAACTGCCCCATGGGGTTTCCAAGGAGTGGCAGGTGGATTTGAACTGCTGACCTTTTGGTTAGCAGCCAAGCTCTTAACCACTGTGCCACCAGGGCTCCTACAGATGAGCGCAAACTGTTTGCCCTACCTGGGGACCTTCTTCCTATCTGTCCTCCCTATTTTAGGCCGTGGCACCACCATCCATAGTTGTTCGAGTTAGTAAACGGGGAGTCATCTTCCACATCTCTCTCTCCTTTACCCTCCACACTCAATCCAGCCCCAAGTCTTGTTCATTTTACCTCCAAAAGATGCCTTGAATCCATTCGTTTCTCTGCATCTCCCATCCACCACCCTAGCTCCGAGCACCATCACCTCCTGACTGATCTCCCACCCCTGCCTCTCTCCAGTCCGTACCACACACAGCAGAGTGCTCTTTATAGAATATAAACTGGATCCTTTTATTCTCAATCAGTGGCTTCTCAATGCATTATACAGAAATCAAAACTCACATACATGACTTTCTACTGGCCCACCGCCAGCCCATATGGCGCCTTTGCATGAACTGACAAAGTACCCCTTCCTTAGATAAACACAGCCTCCTGGCCGGGCACAGGACTTGGCGAGCAGAACATAGGCTGGATTCCAGCTCCCTTCGCGCCCTGTCCTGTGCTCTTGTGTAGGGTGGGTGCATCCTGAGCACTACATGTGGCAGTCCGGGACCCCTCCAAGCTGGTCTCTACCGCTTTCCTGAGACCACTGTGCTCCAGCCACACTGGGGTCGATGAGTCACAAACACATGAAGGAAGGAAATCAAATGAAAACATTTGGAAAAGTTGAAAGTTATAACTTTAAGAGTTAATAACGCACAACATGCCTTGACACTATTAAAAAAAAAGAACCAAACAAATATTTTTTCAGCTGCTCAAGAAAAATGTGTGCTGAGGTACTGAAAGACTAAGCGTTCAAAAAAAATCCCTTGTTAATTGGCAGACTCAAGTAGTTATTTCAGGACAAAAGACATCTTTCAAAATATGGACTGGCTGATGGAATTAAGAGAAGAAGAATGTACCCGGACTAGGCGGGACAGGATAATATATAAATCAGAGGACAGAAGGCCTTTACAAGGACCTTTTGAAAAGAAGTTCTTTAAGTTTATTCTCAGGAAGAGGTCATTTAGGAAAGCGGCAGGGTCCCTCGATGAAGAGGAAACAAAGCAAGCATTCAGGGAAGAAAAGGGGATGGCTGACTGCTTGAACGAGTAGAATGTTCTATTCTATCTGAGTCAGGAAGCAAGGAGATCTTCCTAACCCAGGACTGTCCCTTGAAATGAACTATTGTAGATAAAGAGAAAAAAGAGAGGAAGGAATGTTTGGAGGGAGGAAAAGGGAAGCACTGTGAGTAGAAAGGGAAAGAGTGATTGACGTTTTTAAATTGCCCAACATTAGAAAGAGAAGCAAAATGATGAGCTTCAGATGGAATTTCCAAACATTTAGGGAAGCTGTAACACGATGCTGAGAGCCAGCTGAATGTGTGGATGCCACAGGACAGAGAGATGAGGCTCCTGGTCCCTTCGTGGTCCCATTAGTTTGACAAAAATGATGAGCCCACAAACACAATGATTTGCATAAGCCAGTATATTATTTGCCATTGAGAAGATGAATTCATGCCACATTGTCACGGTTATGTTTTCATATACTGATAGGAGCTGTTAGCTTAAACTATTTTGGATAGCAGGGCTTAGTGTTTATGTCAAATAATGACTTTGATGACAGTGCACATATAAAGCACGAACCACTTAATGCTTAATAGTAAATTTGATACTCACAGGGGAAACTCTGATTTCTAAAAGAAATGCATTAATAATATATGAGCTCAGGAGTTACACAGAGTAAAATCAATTATTATCTATATGCATGTTCCAGGTTTTCTTTCTTTTGCTTTTTCTTTATCTATAGCCTCCTTCAGCTCAAATTTTGACTCCTTGGTTAACACCTTGATGAATCCAGAGCGTTGTGAGAGTTTTCTTCTTTAATTACTTTCGTACTTGTTGTTGAAGTGCATAATGAGTGTTTTATGACATCTGTGTCAAATACCGATGTGCGAAATACTGTCTTCTCACTAATTATTTTCCAAGTGAGGTCTCTGTGGTTGATTCTGATTTTATCATTTTCTAACTTCACACGAAGCTAATTACCGTGTTATAACAATCAGTTATTACTCGGTTCTTTTAAAACCAAGGGGAATTTCATATGTCAAAGTAAGGATGAGATGATTTACTTACATTCGATATGCATATATTATTTTTGAAAATATATCTCCTAAAAATAAATTATTATGCTATTTTCCAAAAGTTACAAGCAAATACTGAGGAAAAAAAAGATTATGAAAACCAACACTTCAGATTATTTCTGAATTAACTGCTGAAAAAATAAATTATAAAGGTAGATGATTATTTAAAAAAAAGTGGTGGGTGATTATAAAGAAAAAGTATAGCAAAAAGATTAATGCTAAGGAATCAGAATATGTAGGCTGCAGGCCAAGTTCTACCACGAATTGTGTGAACTTGGGATGGAAGGAGAGAATGTTCGCTGAGTATCTAATAGAGCTAAGGTGGTATGGTAAAGGATGCTTTTCATGTATTACTTCATTTAATTCTTACTGGAAAGAAGGTATAATAAGTATGATTATTATTCCCATTGTATAGACTAAGAGATAGGCTCAGAGAAGTTAAGTAACTGCACCAAGATCATAAAGCTATTACGAGGTGGAAAGGGTGTGCGTACACAGATGTTCCTGGTGAACTGTATGGCTCTGCGTGTTTAGTTATTCCAATTAGCTTGCTTCCCCTCAAGTCTACACAGTATAGTGGTTAAGGGCCTGGATTTGATATTTTAGTTTCCAAATATTTGGAAAATTTCCAGAGATCTTTCTGTTAACGATTACAATTTAATTTCACTGTGGTTAGAGAAAATACTTTATATGACTTGGATCCTTTTATATTTATTGAGATTTCTTTATGGCCCAGAATATGGTCTATTTTGGTGAATATCCCACGTGTACTTAAGAAGAATGTGTTTCCGCTGTTGCCGAGTGAAGAGTTCCATGAATATCAATTAGGTCAAGTTTGCTAACAGTGTTGTTCAAGTCTTCTATATCCTTACTGATTTTCTGGCTCTTTTATATCAATTTTTGAGAGAGGGTGGGCTATTGACATCTCCAACTCTAACTGTAGACTTTTCTATTTTTTCTTACAGTTCTTTTTCTTTTTTTTCTTCATGTATTTTTAAGTTCTGTTATTAGATGCATAAATGTTTAGGATTGTTATGTCTTCCTGGTAAATTGACACCTTTACCATTATGAAACCAAAAAACCCATTGCTGGTGATTCATTTCCGACCCACAGTGACCCTACAGGACAGAGTAGAACTGCCCCATAGGGTTTCCAAGGAGTGGCTGGTGGATTCAAACTGCTGACCATTTGGTTAGCAGCCAAGCTCTTAACCACTGTACCACCAAGTCACTTATCATTAAGAAATGACCTTCTTTATCCCTGATAGTATTCTAAAATTCTG